TTGTTCCTGCTCCTGTCCAGATATCGACGAGTGCGAAATGCCGAACGCCTGTTCCTACAACTGCGTCAACGCTCCTGGTGGGTTTAACTGCACCTGCCCACCCAGCGGCTACACGCTGGCCCAGGATGGGTGGACCTGTGAAGGTTAGAGAATCTGTTCTGCAAAAAACATCTTCATTTTAGACTGCTTTTGGGTTTTTCATTTTAAAAGCAAATATTAAAAAACAKRTGATTATTCTACTGTCATTTTTCCACTCCAAAAACAGGAAAACGGTTTCTTTTTATTTTTCTCAAATTGGAAACTTACCACAAAATTTACCATTTAAGGTAAAGCTAGTTAAATAACTTTTTAACAACAGACTAAAAATAAATAAATAAATGCTAGCTAATAAATAAAAAGCTACAATTTGGTGTGGTAGTAGCCGAAAGTGTTCCCCAACACATTCTCCTAGCACTAACCTGCACATAATCTTTGCTGGAGTCAACCCTGTTAGCGAAATATCTCCTCAACAACTGTACAGGTTTGGGTGAAACCCTCAGGGAGTGAGAGTTAAATGTTGATACTTTTTAAATAAATGTCTTATTTGTGTTTTTATCTTTAGACATCGATGAATGCGCTGCAGGAACTCACACCTGTTCTGTCRTAGAGAACTGCTTCAACGTCCAGGGAGGGTTTCGTTGTTTCAACTTTGAGTGTCCCCCCAACTTTTCTCGTGCGACAAAGAGGTAAGGAGGTAGACTTTGTTGCCTTTCAGTACYGCCTCCCTCCTTGAAACGTTTTAAGGTGTGCTAAAATAAAATATAAAAAATTATAACTCAATACATTTCTGACACTCAGAAATGGTTCAAACGAACCATTTGTTGTTCACCTTCATCATCAGCATTCTAACAAAGTGGCATCAGAACACGTCTCCATTCCTCAGTAGAAGTGGTTAAAGAAACTCCCCAGTTAAAAAATAAAAATAAATAAGACTGAATAGGAAATTGTCAGATGACAGTTTTATAAAAATTTGGTATTCAGAAGTTAGTTAAAAGTTAGCTAATTACTAGAACAGTAGCTAAAATCTAGAATTATCAGAANTAGCTAAAATCTAGAGTTATCAGAACTGTAGCTAAAAGCTAGAATAATCAGAACAGTAGCTAAAAGCTAAAATTAGCATGGCAGTAGGAAAAAACTTGGCAGAACAGTAGCTAAAAGCTGCAATTAACAGAACAGTAGCTAAAAGCTGCAATTAACAGAACAGTAGCTAAAAGCTGGAATTAACAGAACAGTAGATAAAAGCTAAAATAAACAGCAGTAGGAATAAGCATCAACTAGCAGAACAATAGCTAAAAGCTAGATTTACCAGAAAAGTAGTTAAAAGCTAAAAGAAGCATAGCAGTAGGAAAAATCTTCAAAAGGCAGAACAGTAGCTAAAAGCTAGAACTATCAGAACAGTAGCTAAAAGCTAAAATAAGAATGGCGGTAGGAAAAAGCTCCAATTGACAGAGCAGTAACTAAAAGCTAGAATTATCAGAACAGTAGCTAAAATCTAGAATTATCAGAACGGTAGCTAAAAGCTAAAATTAGCATGGCAGTAGGAAAAAACTTGGCAGAACAG